GAGATGCAACATCTCTTCGCAGTGCCAATGAGTCGAGCCGATCGGAAAGGACTCGGTCGTCGACGATTCGAGCCGCTCTGCGCTGGATGCGGTCAAGTGGAAGAAGCTGGCACTGGGGAGCCCCAGCCCAGAGATGGGAACAGTATTCCATGTGAGGCCGAACCTGCGCCTTGTAAAGTTGCAGGCGTTGAGCCGGCATGAAATACTGTCCCGCTCTGCTGAGCACGGCAAGCTTTTTAGAGGCCAATTTGGCCTTCTCTTCCAAGTGACCACGAAACTGCACGTTACTCGATATGTCGACGCCGAGGATTCCGATACTGGCTGAGGCAACAAGGGGAGTACCTTGAAACTGAGGAAATACAACAAAGGGGTTCTTTTTAGCGGTAAACGCGCAATCTTGTGTCTTCTGAGGATTAAACTGGACTAGATTTAGTCGCCCCCTATCCGAGACTTTGTCCAGCAAAGACTCGACTTCTGACACAAGTTTGTTCCGGTACTCGGTGACGTTATCCCGAGAAATATTGGCACGGCCGGTGTATAGAGCATCACCAGTGCTGTCATCCGCATAGCAATGAATGCTACCGGTTTGCAACATATCATTGATATGCAGAATAAACAGCGTTGGTGATAGCACGCAGCCTTGTGGAACACCAGCGTTAATAGGCTTGTAGTCGGAGCATGCACCGTCTACAACGACCTTGATGCTCCGATCTGCAAGAAAGCTGGTGATCCAATTGCATAATTTCTCGGGAAGCCCATAGGAAGGGAGCTTCGAAAGAAGCGCTTTGTGCCAAACCCGATCGAAGGCCTTCGCAATGTCCAAACTAACGGCCAATGCCTCCCCCTTGGACTCTACTGCCAACGCCCATCTATGAGTTAAGTAGACCAGAAGATCACCAACTGATCGACCCCGACGAAAACCGTACTGGCGGTCACTAATCAGCTGGTGATCCTCAAGGTACTGCATGAGGTGGCAGTTTACAACGGATTCCATTATTTTGGAGAACAAGGGGGTGATGGCGATAGGCCTGTAGTTGGACGGGTCTGAGCGGTCGCCTTTTTTAGGGATCGGGTGGACAAAAGCTGTCTTCCATGATTTCGGGACTACGCCTAGGGAGTAGGTGTACCGGAAAAGACGCGTTAGAACCGGTGCCAACTCCGGAGCACACGTCCTCAGCACAATTGGGGGGATTCCGTCAGGCTCACTCGTCTTGTGGATGTCAAGGGAGAGGAGTGCTCTGCGAACCGAGCGCTGTGAGAACCGCACATCCGGCATTGAGCACTCACACCGCGGGATGGTCGGCGGTGTGTTCCCCCCGTCATCAACAGTCGAGTTGGACGCAAAAACGGAGCCTAAAAGGTCGGCCTTCTCTTTTGCGTCGTGGGCCAGTGAGTCGTCTTCCCTGTGCAGAGATGGTAGTGATGGCTTACAGAAATTCCCTTGGACAGCCTTGGCGAGAGACCAGAATGCACGGGTTCCCGAAGGAAGGCGAACTAGTTTCTCGCCAATTCTGCCTATGTGCTCTGACTTTGCCTTGGCAATAACTCTTTTGAAGGACCTGGAGGCGAAGTTATACTTCTTTTTAAGTGTGCTGGTGTTTACATCCCGAGTCACCGAAGCCGCAGCCCAGGCTTGATAACACTCCTGCTTACTGCGTAATGCAGTCTTACAGGAGCGACCAAACCAAGGCTGAGATCTGCCTCCGATGGGTACCACAGATGATGGAATAAATAGTTCCATTCCCTGTAGCACCACATCAGCGACAGATTCAGAAACAGCGCTGGGATCATCCGGCGAGAAGCAAACCCGCCCCCATGGGTAGGAAGCAAAGAAAGACCGCATTCCGTCCCAATCCGCCGACCTTTAATGCCAAACACGGCGGCAACCTGCAGAACGCAACCGCGAGGGGAGCGTGAGTGGCACCACACTCCGGATCAGACAATGGTCCGAAGAGCCAAAGGGGCATCGACGGAAACCTGATATCCGTCCGGATGAGAGTTTAGCAGAAGGTCCAACAGGGAAGGTGTATGATCCTCAACATCTGGAATCCGCGTAGGCGATGTAACCAGTTGTGTCAGACCATATGCCAAGGCAAAGTCATAAACAGATCTCACCTCATGATCGGTTAAACGTGAACCGAGCCATTCGGCGTGGTGGGCGTTAAAATCGCCAAGGATCACGATCTCTGCTGATGGGACCTGTTGTAGTAAGGAATCTGTAACCATTTGGACGTGGTCGATGAGTCGGTCTGTTTCGGCATTACCGCTATGGGACCTATAGAGGCACACGTAGACGCGCGGATGGTCGTCGCTGTCTACGCGTAGCCAAAGGATGGACAGGTCCGAACCTTCAAGACTGCCGAGGCGTCGAGAACAGATGTTCTCTCTGACATACACGCAAACTCCAGCCCGAGGCACAAAGGAGTGCTCCAATT